TGCTGCTTGGCCTGCTGTGTTCATCCAGCCTTGCACCTTGTTGTCTCAATGTAATCATTCACAGGATAGAAGTTTCCTCCAATCGTTTGTGGTAAGCAACTAAACAGAATGTGTTTGAGGCCTCCTAATCGAGTTGCTGGTGGCCATTTACTCATCTTCAGCAGATAAACTGCCATACAGACAGTTACTTCAGCGGTGATCCTGGTTCGTATTGTTAAGGAGGAAACAAAGCACCTATTGTGCATCAGCATACCACAATCTACCCTCATGAGATCATGATTGATACCAATGTGTCACTGGGTGCCTCAAGTTCTGCACCTTTCTAAGTGCAAACATATAGGGGAAAAATTCAGAGACAATGTCAGTGAAACAAATGGAACATTAAGTGCATGGGTTGGCTTATCATAAACTTGCCGCAATTGGTCAGCACAGAACACTTACCCAAGTGCTGCCCTGGTGCCCATGTCATAACTGTAAGCAAGTTGAAACACTACAGATTCTGGTTTTACACAACACTCTTGTAATCTTTCCTGGAGCAACTCCACCATTCAAATCATGGAACTTTGGTGTCTATGTTCCATATATGCACATGTAGCTCTGTTCAGACTCCAGCTCCAAAATGTATTACAGCCCCTCCAATGCGATCCGTTATCACACAGGCAGGCATATGCACACACATTGACAGTAACACACAGAGACAAAGGCACTCAGATAACATCCCACCCTCAGACAGATGGTGAATTGATAAGAGGCTCAACAGTTCTGGCATCACTCATCTTTGCCACAGATAAATAGAAGCAGTTTGTAAATTATCAGCAATATATTTACAGCAATTAGACAAGTATACACACCTCATACAGAATACTTAAAAACATCATTTTAATTCATATCCCTCTGCCCAGTTTCATGTAATGTGGTATGCATCACCCTCATGGCCTGTACTCAGATCCAGTGCGACAATGGAGGAGCAATGGAAAATAAGCCCAGTAGAGACAAACTGCATTAACCAGGTGCCCAGCCTGTCCTCTCACCACAGGTCACAGCTTATCGTTTCTGCAGTGCACAGCGGTCATGCTTCCTGATGATATCAATCAGACTTTTCCCGGTCACCACATCTTGCTGTGCTCGCTGCTTGTTTCTCAGTTGTTCTCTGCGCTGTTGCTCATTCAAATAGGGGGAGTTAAGGAGCTGTGGAGGCAGCAGTGTACCTGTTGGCTTCACCCGCTTCACCAATTCCAAGAAATGCTTGCTGCTGCTGTTATTAACAAAGGTGATTGCTGTTCCCTGGTGACCCAACCGTCCTGCTCTCCCCACCTGGGAAAAATAAGCATGTTTTAGAGCACCATTCATTTACGATTTGGGCCTGTAGCTGTGGGCTGTACGGAAACAAGATAATAGCATGTCTAATGTTCAAGCTGCAGTTTCATTTAAAGATTTATCCCTATTCAGCCATGACTCAATTGCTGAGACTCTCACCTCCTAGTCATGAAGTTGTGGGTTTAAGTCCCACTCCAGAAAGATGAGCACAAAATCTACGCTGACACTTTTGGCAATATTGAGTGAATGCTATTAGAGGTGATTTCAGATGAGATATTAAATCTGTCTGCTCCTTTAGCTGGATGTAAAAGATCCACTGACACTATTTTGAAGAGGAGGTGGGGAGTTCTCCCCAGCGACCTAGGAAATTTTCATCCTTCAATCAACACCACAAAAACAGATTATCTGCTCATTATTGCAGTGCAGTTTGAGAGACCTTACATGTACAAACTGGCTATTATGTTTCCGAGATAACAATAGTGATTGTTAATGATCTCAGCAGAGACCAGTCTGTTCTTTTTTAAAAAAAAATCTGAAAATTCAGGTATTTACTAAAAGGATGAAGCCACAAGGTTCACAGTTTAAATCAAAGTCATTTTCCTGAATGAAACAAATCAAAGAACATAAATACTATTGACTACACAATTACCTTAAAGATATTAAAAATACAATGAAGCATCTGCAGTTTTTACTATCTCTGATGAAGCTGTCACTTATTCTCCAAACTGAATGCAAAACTGCCTTCTTCACCCATTGGACTGACTCAAACTCTAATCAGATACTGATCAAAACTTGGAGGATCAATCACTTGGTCTGCGTACTGTTTCTGAGATTTGTATAAGAGTCTTCCACTTATTTCCAGCACGGTTGTGCCTTCAAGACTCCAACATCACTTCTTACATGGTTGTAAACTCTCCATTCAACACGTTGTTACCTTGTATGATGACACTATGGCTTTAAGAGGTGTATTTTGTTCTGGGTTTTGTTTTAATGAAGAGAAGTTGAGACATAGGCTCCAAGTGGTCTGTTCCAAGCAGCTTGTGAGGCCATAGGTTTTTTTAAAAAAAGGTTGGAACAATAGAAGCAGCAGGAATGGGTAGAACGAGGCTCGCACAGAAGCTGGGTTTTATAATAGCTTTCAGTAGTTGTTGGGGGTTTGGAAGCTGGTTGTGGGAGCTACATCTTTCTCTCTGTTGCAGCTAAAAACTTGGGTTCTCTTTTTGCTTCCAGAATTGCATATGAGACAATCTGTTTTACTGACTTCGCCTTTGCCAAGGGTGTGTTTATGGGATGTTACTATATTGTAACCGTTGCTGTTTAATAGTTAAATAATCTATTATTTTGTTAAGTTTTCCAATAGAGTTAAGTTATTCCAATTCTTTTTTTTAATATTTTAACTGGGGGTAAGAATAAAGGTTGTTTTGCTTAAACCCGAGTAATGTGACCAATTGAATTACATGTGGAACACAGCACCTTACACTTGCCAATAAACAAGATAAAAGTTAGGGTCTAGGCCATCTCCTTGATATATCTGAAGGGGATTTAGTCTGGTCCGTAACACGAATTAGAAGTATCCGGTTTCTAATATTCTTCAACTCTGGAGTCTTGTATCTAATATTCTCCCTCTCTTCTCAATGTGGTTAACCATAGAAATTAAACTCTTTTAGCCAGCACAGCAGAATTTTACCTGAATTCTGCATCCTGCATTGTTACAGCCATGCATTTCACAGTTTGGGACAGGAGGAGGAGGCATGGAAAGGAGATGAAGAATTCACACAGTAAAATTTCTCTACCTGATGCACATATTCATCCATGGTAGGCGGCATGTCAAAGTTCACAACCAGTGTGACATTGACGAGGTCCAGCCCTCTGCCGAGGACTCCTGTGCTGACAACAACCTCATAGTCATCTTGAAGCAGGCCCTGAAAAACATCACAGCAGCAGACTTTGGATAACTATGGGATGAGAAAATTGAACACCTCCCCCCAACCCACAAGCACCTCCCTCTCTATCATTTCACAACCAACATGAGGCAGGTAATGATCAATTAGGTCTTAGTGTTTTTTGAACAGGCGATGAAGTGCTAAGGTTTGCTATCAGCCAAGTACCAAAATGGTATGTTCCAAGACTAAGATTCCAGCAGAGCAAAGCTTGTTAGTTTGATCAGAGACTTGGTTGTATTGCTGCAGCTTTTTTTTTTCCTCAGATGACCAAATGTTGCAATTTATATCCTGCAAGTGCTGAATACTCCCACCAACATCAACCTCAGGATGGTCCCATTATCTAGGCCAGTGGAGGTTGTGAATTCAGACTTTACTGAATTGCAAATTTGAATTTAGTAAATCTGGTTATTTTCTTCTTGGCCTCACCTTGAAAAATGGCATTGTAAGTTGCTGGACTGGTGTACCTTCAGAGGTTGGATGTAGATGGTATTATGAATCAAATACAGAGAAGATCAAAACCACACTCTGTGGAACTTATTGCTGCAGACACTTGTAACTGTTCTGGCTTACACATATTTAGTGGATTCTTAATATCTTCTCATAGATTGTCTTTCTTAGGGCTTCGGCGGGATCTATCCCATGTTGACATGGATTCAGAAACATTGGCAGCATTTGAAGCTGTGGTAACAGTGGCAGTGTTTTTCCCTTAGAGTCAGAGTCAAGTGACAATCCAGAAAGCTCTGAAAGGCAGTACAGAAAGGCTTCGGAAATCTGAAGATTGAAATGATTTGGGAGTCCTAGTTCAGGATTCTTGAGATTCACTTGGTGGTTAGGAAGGCAAATGTAAGGTCTAGAAAACACGAGCAGAGGTTTACTGCTGATGCTATATACGGCTCTGGTCAGACTGCATTTGGGATATCATGAGCAGTTTTGGGTCCCATAGCTAAGGAAGGATGTGCTGGCATTAGTGGAAATCCAGAGAAGGTTTACAAGAATGATCTCGGAGATAAAGGGCTTATCATATAAGGAGCGGTTGTGGACTCTGGTTCTGTACTCAATGGAACTTAGAAGGATGAGGGGGAATCTGATTGAAATGTTTAGAATACTGACAGGCCTATTAGAGTGAATTTGGAGAAGATGTTTCCACTAGTAGGAGAGACTCGGACCCAGGGATACAGCCTCAGGGTGAAGGGATGACCCTTTAGAAATGAGATGAGGATGAATTTCTTCAGCGAGAGGGTGGTGATTCTGTGGAACTTATTGCTGCAGATGGCTGTGGAGGCTAACCCATTGAGTATATTTAAGACAGAGATGGTTAGGTTCCTGATGAGAAAGGGTATCAAAAGGCAGGAGAATGGGATTGAGAAACACATCAACCATGATTGAATGGCAGAGCAGACTCGAGGGGCTAAATGGCCTAAATCTATTCCTGTATATTATGGTCTAAACTTGACTATATTATCTACCCTGTAGATATCCTGTACACTACTGAAAGAGTGCTACCAGGTCAAAGGCCCCGCTAGACTTCATCAGTGGATTTAAAACAACCCATGACGCTAATACACAGAAGAACAGAAGTTCTCTGCTTGGAGTTCTGGCCAATATTTATCACTCAACCAACATTTCTTATCTGATCATTTATCCAATTGCTGGTTGAGGGATCTTGCTTTGAGCATTTAATTCCTATGTCTCCTATATTACAACAGTACACTCAAAAATATTTCAGTGACAGTAAAGTACTTTGGGACATTGTGTTTATGAAATGCACAACAGAAGTGTGATTCTTTCTTTCCAGTACCTCATCCAAGTGGCTGTTCTCCAAAATCATCTATTTCCACATATGTAATATTGTCTTATTTTGCTCCACTTCAACTTATCTGTAGCCTAATTCCTCATTCCATGCCTTTGTTACCTCTAGATTTGATGATTATAATGCATTCCTGGTTGTCCTCACACATTCTGTCCTCCATAAAATTATGGTCATCCAAAACTCCCTGCCTATGTTTTTATTTGCTTCAAGTCCCGTTCATCTATTACCTCTGAATGTGTTGACCTACTCTGGCTCCCAGTTAAACAAACCCCAATTTCATAATTCTTGCCCTTCACCATCTCTATAATCCCTTTACTCCCACAATAATGAGGCATCTGTACCCCTTTAAATCTGGCCTCTTGAATATCCCTGACTTTAATTCCATACCATTGGAGGCCTTGCTTTCAGCTGCCAAGGCTCTAGGTTCCAAAATTCCCTCCCTAGACCTCCCACTGTCTTTTGATTTCCAACATGATCCTTAAAACCTACCTCTGTGAGAAATCTTTTGGTCGTCTACCCTATCATTTGATGCTGCTTAGTGGCAAATTTGAGTCATAGTCAGAGTCTTTAAAAGAACTAAAAATGAATCAAAATAAAAGTCTTATACTATTGAAATATAATAATTGTATGAAATCCAGAAGTAAATACAGAAATAAACCTGAATCTAATGCACAGCTGCAAGATTCACACTGCTTTCAGTCTGCCATTTTAGAATTATAAATTTGCTTTATAATGCTCCTATGAAACGTCTTTGGATGTTTTATTATTATGTTGAAGTCACTATATAAACGCAAGCTGTTAAGATGTGAACCTAGACAAGTGAGGACAGCCTGCGGCAGACATCATGTCTACTGTGTAATTCAGGTGAACAGCATCCAGGAGAATGATCTTTCCTGAACACAGATACTGAGCACAATTGTGCCGTTACAAATGCTGCTCTGGTTTGAAATGGTACAGGATATGGGTGGTTGCTAAGAATTGTGGCTGCCAGGCTGATTAAGATATGAGGCTATTTTTGATCATGGGTTGAAATGGGAAAGGAACTTTAAAAATTAAGGATTGTTGAAGGATTACTGCACTTTTTAAAAGCAAGTAACCTGCCACTCATTGTAAGTACTGTTTATACTGCTGCTTGTTCAAGCAGTAACGGATGCCTAGTTTGCTGATGAGCTGGACCAAATGGTGCATACTAATGGACTTATGGCTGGCAACAAGCAGCTGCTTGGTCTGTAGGTAGCAACTGATTATCGATGGCAAAGGCCATCTGCTTGACAACATCTCAGTGATTGGCTCCCAGGTAGTTCAACGGCTTTGGGTCTGGACAAGATAGAAGCAATCATATCTCTGCAAAGGCAGGAGCTGTCTCTTTTCCCTGCAGTAAAAGGCATCGCAAGCCTGAAGGTAACCAATTTATTTTTCCTTTTCCAGTTGCTGTAAGCTGTGATTTTTAATTGATAAGTCAAAAACCTTCACAAGTTTGAACCAGTCGCCTTTGTCTCCTGCAAACAGATGAAAGTAACCGGAAAAGGAAGACTAAGAAGCAGCATTCTACTCAGCACAAGAATAAACTCAGCAAATCCTACGAACAGGGACCACTAAATTGCCTTCCCAGTCTTTCCCTCCACTGATAACACCGTTTTTATTCCCTGTCAATATGTGTGAGAGTTTGTAGAGGGAGAATTTAAAAGGTGGTTGGAGGTTTAACCAGGAGTGATATATGTTGGTAGTTCATAAAATGTTCATCTATAGTTAGAATCTATTTATTGGTAATAAATAGTCATTTTTGTTACATACATGAAACCTGGTCCATGCTTTCTGTCAACATGGCTCTGAAAGACAGGTAAACTGGGGAATTCTGCAGGGCATATTGCTCCATACGGAGCTCCACTCTGCTCGTCAGTTCCCTTTCCTTGTTGTTCTTTTTTCTCTTCTTCTTCTCTCTCCTCTCTACAGTAATTCTATTCCCTCCCCACCCCCCACCCTTTTAACTACCTACCTAAGGAGTCGGATCGCAACCAGGAGCCGCGTGGTGGGAGCTGAACGTGTGGGCTGTGACCTGCAGCTATGGCAATCGAACGTGGGCTGAAGCGATGGCGGCGGATCAAGAACGGGCCGGTTTGGTGGCAACAGTCGGCGGCGAAAGCGGGGCCGGTGAGAGCGGCCAGTGAGGTGTTGAGAGTGGCCAGTGAGGCAGCAGCAGTCGGCGTGAGAGCGGGCCTTTTGCATGGCAATGGCCTCCTGGTTGTCCTAGCGATTGGAGCGTCGCTTGCACCATTGTGGAGATGGGACTTGGGTCTCTGAGATCTGGACTTTTCTTTTTTACTTGCTTACCTTTTAGCTCTGTTAAAATCTTCAGTTCTGTTTTTTTTGACCAAGTGGGCACCAGTGAAAGGTGACTTTGTGCACTTTTCGCTGTACTTATGTATTTCTGTACTTAGTACATGTGGCAAATAAATAAATCTAATCTAATATACTTTCTGAAAGTCCTTAGCTTTTCTAATGACTCCAGGAATAGGGGGCTTTATTTTCAGCATGGTACCTCAGTGAGGTGTAACGTCACACACTGGTTTCCATCAGGCGTTTACCTGCAGAATCTGATTCCGTTCACACTGGGCCTTGTCTGAATGAATGGCCACTGTCTTCAGGCCTGTGATGGTCTGCACAGCATTTGATAGGAGATCAGCTCCCAGTCTGCAGTCCACAAACACCACCACAGGGGGTTGGAAGAGCTTGCCATCCTAGATCAGAGGAACAAACCAAAAATGGATTAGAAAGCATTTATGCAAAAAGGTTGAGAAAGTTAAAATGGCCATTGGTTCCTTTCTCACCATCTCCCCAGTTGTGAAGATACAGGTTCCTGCAGTTCAAAAGGGACTTCCAGCCCATTACTCAAATTATACTCTTTCAGGTGTACAAGCCAGCTAGTTAACTGCGAATGCATCTCAGTAGTGCCTAAACATGTCCTCACACTTAATTTTTCCACCGTATTCGGACCCCTTTCAGTAGGTGCAATCAGAGTGAGGAATAGCTCTGTCTGATGTTCCAAATCTGCTGCCTCGACCCTTCAAAACCTGAAAGCACTGATGTTAATTCTGTACCAATTGGGGTCAAACACAGGACCTGTTAGCAGTCGTTCAGTTCCACACTTGCCAATCGATCCCCAAAGGAGCCTGTATACCTCACTCTATCGCCAGTCTCTGGATTGTGACTACAGGCAAGTTCCACACTCACCTGTCCCTGCCCCATGTTTGGGGTGATACAAAGAGATTCTACTCAACATTTATACAGAAATATTCAATTCTACTTGCATTCAGAATCTCAAACAGTTTCTTCTTCTTGGATGCTTCCTCCACCCAAAGGATAATTTGACGGACATTGGAACAAGGCTGGTTCATCTCTCCAACAGTGATCCTGACTGGGTCCTGCAGGAACTGGCTGGCCAGCTGCTCAATACCTGCTGGGATGGTGGCAGAGACCAAAATCGTTTGATGCTCCGAGGGCATTTTCTCCAGAATGTCCAACACCTGCTGCTGGAATCCCATCTTCAACATGGTGTCAACCTCAGGAAAAAAATAATATTTTTTAGTTTTATCATCAGCAATGTTGCACAGTGCAAACTTGTTATTGGTGTTCAGAATGTGGGCGAGGCCAGTGACATTGCTTCAAAACATTGGTGGTGAGCAACCTTCTTGAACTGTTGAGATCTGTGTAGTGAAGGCACTCCCACAGTGCAGGTAGAGAGCTCCAGAACTTTAACCCAATGACAATGAAGGAACAGTATTTCCAAGACAGGATGGTGTGTGACCTGGAGGGAAACTGGAAATATAGTCAGCGCTGTTCCTGTGCTGACTGTGTTTGTCTTTTTCTATGAGGCAGAGGTTGCAGGTGTGAGAGCTACTTCCAGAACAATTAACAGACAGAACATAAAGCCTGTCTACAGATTAATTAGAAAATGATTTCCTGTTCTGGAGATGCTTAATACTGCTATCTTTAGAGTCCTGCGGTATTGCCATTAACCACCTCACCCCAATGATCACACATCATATCTGAACCTTTGGTGAAGCATGGGCGGGTGATTAAACGATGTGAACCTTCCAAGGCCAGTAGTTTCTAGTAGTTGAGGATTTAAGAACAAGGAAACCTGTAAATCCAGGATTAAACCTAAAACATTTGGCCTTTATGACAAGGGGCTTTGAGCACAGAAGTTAAAATATTTTGCTTCCATTGAATAGAACCTGTACAAGACTGCACCTGGTGTATCATGTGCATTTTGGAAGGATATATTTGCCATAGAGAGAGGTTAGTCAGACCAATTCCTGGGATGGCAGGACTGTTCTATGAGGAAAGATTGATAACATTGGGTTTGTATTCCCTGGAATTTAGAAGAAAGAGAGGTAATGCTATTGAAACTTACAACAGTCATAAAAGGATAAACAGAGTAAATGCAGAAAGGATGTTTCCACTGGTTGGGTTGGAAGCGTTCAGAATATAAAGCAGACAATTTACGACTAAGATGAGGAAGAATTTCTTCCCTCGAGAGGTAGTGAATCTTTAGAAATTGCTCTCTCAGAGGGTTATAAAAGCACAATTGACCAAGTTGAAGACAGAGATTGATAGATTTCAGAATAACAATGACACCAATGAATATGGGAAATGCACATGAAAATTATTTTGGGGCAGATGATGATGATCCAGAATGGTGAAGCAGGCTTGTGGGGCTTAATGGCCTACTCCTCCTCCTGTGAATAAGAGGATTGGAAAAATGTCTTTATAAAGAATGGAGGGGCAGTAGAATTTACTTCTAGAGGTAGTTGAGTTAGAATCTGTCAATGTTCAAGATTGGATAGGTGACAAAAGGAAAAAGAGTTGAAGGAATAAAAAGATGCATTTGTTATTGCATAAACACAAGCATGGACTGCTCCTGTTGAATGGTCTGCTTCCACATTATAACTTCTAAACGTTTAAAGCTCCCTTCACACTGCCCATTAAAACACCCTATAGGGCAGGTAAGCATGGATTGTATTCAAAATAATACTCCCTTTAACTGAACCATGTCTGAAGGGAGTTCAGTCTGCACTAGGATAGTTCCTCATGTCATCACAAAGCCTTTCCTGGGATTATCACCAGAACTAAATGGTCACAACTGTGGGAAATGAAACAGATACTGGTCAAACTCATTCAAGCTAGAAAGTTCAAGGCAGAGAGCACTTCATTCAATTAGGCCTGGCTTGAGCTTTGGCTTCAGTGTTGAATTCAGATGTGATTTTAAAAGGGATACTTCAACATCAACATTTACCTCATCCACCACCACAATCTGCATTCCGCACAGGTTGATAGCTTCTTGCTTTAGAATTTCCAGCAGCCGCCCTGGAGTTGCAATAATTACCTGTGAATAGAACCAAAATGTCTAAAATTAAAAACCAGATGATATTCTGCAGGAAGGACATTGAGAGAAGAGGCAGTCCAGGAAGGTGGATGATAGAATCTCTACAAGACAAATGACTGACGACATGTGAGCTCTTTGGGCCAAGTATGTGATGAGTTTAGTCAGGATAAATAGTTTTGTTAGAGGTTAACTTGTGATTAACTTGGGCAAGTCCAGTGCGGTGGGGAGGCGGGTAAGAGATTGGTGGTGTTGGCAAAGGTATTAGAGCTAGGGACAGAACAGTGGAAAGGACAGAGCAGAGGAGGCAGAAGGGTAGGTGTAGATGGTGTCCAACTCCAGGACAATACAGTATACATCCCAGAGAAAGAAAAATTACAGTGATATTAATTTGTTTTGACATTTTCTTTCAAAATTTCTCTTAACCAGATAGAATATATTGAAAATGGGGTTTCAAGATTGTTTAGCTCACAGTCAAGTATCATCGCAATTGGGTAATGAGTATTTTTTGCTTTCCAATTGGTGTTGGAAGACAGTGCACAAGGATGGGTATGTTGGCTATTTAATGGAGGCAAATCATGTGATGAAACCTTGAGGAATATATTTTGTCACAATTGGCAACTCTACTCAACTATTAGCTATTACCATCCCTTATCATGTATACTGGTGGCCCCTTGAGAATCCTACTTTTGAATGAATGTTTCACTGTCTCACTCCTAGTCGTGCAGGATGGGTATTTCTAGTGACTGAAAATCCACCTGCAGGTACAAAAGTGCGATCTTACATTGGTTGAAACAGAGCTGGGCAAAACAGGACACTGGGAGGACTGAATAGTAATGCGGTCATGCAATTGAAGTCCCAGTCAATGAATTTAGAACAAAACCTAGACCAAGGTCTTCCCAGGGCCCTGGGCAATGTTCATGCCTTAACTGCTACCTTTGAAAATACATTAGCTGGTTCTAATCTCATTGCTGGTTGGTGAGAGATTCCAATATGCAAATTGACTGGCAAGTTCCCTACATTACATCTGTAGCTATACTCCAAAGAACTTCATTGGCTGTGAAGGGTCTACACAAATCTTTCTTATACATGTCATGTGATTAAATGTAACAGCCAAATGTTCCACCCAAGTATCACTCAGGTAACAAATGTCACAAACAGGAAATGTGTACCAGACGTTAGAATTTTAATACCTTAGGTGGTATTTTTTTTTCTTTATTCATTTATGGGATAAGGGCATCGCTGGCTAGGCAGCATTTATTGCCCATCCCTAGTTGCCCAGAGGGCAGTTCAGAGTCAACCACATTGCTGTGGGTCTAGTGTTACATGTAGACCAGACCAGGTAAGGATGGCAATTTCCTTCCCTAAAGGACATTAGTGAACCAGACAGGTTTTTCCAACAACCGACAATGGATTCACAGTCATCGTTAGACTCTTAATTCCAGACATTTTATTGAATTAAAATTCCACCATCTGCCGTGGTGGGATTCGAACCCGGGTCCCCAGAACATTATCTGGGTCTCTGGATTAACAGTTCAGTGATAATACCACTAGGCCATCGCCTCCCCTGCCATATATTAAAACTTCACATTTGCAAATGTTTATTGACATACACAAACTGAATCTTATCTGAATAGTGTAATGGTTTTTTTTCCACTGGATTAATAATCCAGAGAACAGGACATCAGTAATTCCAGTTTGAGAATTTCACAGTATCATATAGTTTAGAAAGTGAATATCAGCCCTGTGACAACTCTTTGTAAAAGCTATCTTGTCTACTGCTCTTTCCCCATAGCCTTGCACATTTTCCCCTTTAGGGTATTTATTCAATTCCCTTTTGAAAGCCACCATCAAACCTGTTTTGGTATTGCATTCCAGATCGTAACTCCTTATGGAATAAAAGAAAACATCTCTAGTTATTTTGCCATTACCTTAAGGATCTTCCCCAGTTCCTAGCCATAATCGCTGGAAATATTTTCCTTTTATCTACTCTATCAAAACCATTCATGATACTGAACACCTCTAGCAAATCTTGATGGAATACCTGCTGAAAAGTCACAGATCTGCAACTTTAACTCCATTTTTCTCTCCACTGATGTTGCCTGACTGTTGCTGAGTATTTCCAGTGTTATCTGTTTTCATCTCAACACAGATAAAATGCCATTTTTGCTACATTAAAGGCATTATTTGGTATAGCGACATAAGATACTTGGACAGGTGACCCAAAAGCTTGGAGAAAGATATAGGTTTTAAGGGATGTCTTAAAGGAGGAGATTTTGCATTTGTCATGTTGTAGCCAGATTTCTGGGTTAGCAGAAGAAGCGGCCGGTGAAGAGATAACAGGAGGAACACAGAATAGAATCCCATGTTTTGAATTCTGGAGGAACCACTTTTCGCTTTTTGTACTGAGTAGAATGGCAACAGGGAAATAACTCAGAAACAATGAATGTCTACACATGGACAGAAGAACTAACTCACCATTATTAACAGATAACACAGTAGAGATTGCAGGCAGTATTGCATGGATCCCTCTCATAGGGCACAAGTAGCAAAGTTAAAGTGAGACTCTCAGGACTGGCTGCTCTTGGTAATGCTGCAAAACTGTGCCCTTTAAAGAGTAGGCCATTCACTTGAAGCAATGCAAACTGATAAAGAATACATTATGGCTTTATTGGTAAGTAGACCAGGTGTGACTGAGCCACATAGGCCAGCAGGTGCTGGTTGGATCGCTGGTTTGTACTGTTATCAGATCCCAGACAAGGCTGCAGTTAGCCTCAACACCATAAGGTAAGGAATTGGAAAACAAAATTAACTAGCAGCCCTCATCCAATAACACCCTATTTTGCCCATTTGTGGAAACATGTCATTGGCAAAGCCAGCATTTCATGGGAACGGTGACTGTGCAAGAGCTGAACAGAAGATACAATTAAATTCAGATGTGATGCCCTAACAGCAGAATAGGCTGCTCACAACTATTGCCCAAGTTCATTCAAAGGCCACGAAGGCAGCAAACATCTTCGAACCTCCACCCTAACCAGAGATAGTCTCTTCAGGAGAGAAACAGAAACAAGAAGGGGAAAAAACAGAGAAATTGGAGGAATGAACATTAAAAAAAATCCTTGAACAGATTGTCAATTGCAGCGTGAGCTGCATATCTTGCCTGAATGCTTTGTTTGAGGCGGTGGAGCTGTGGGGGTAAAGGCATTCCACCGACTAGCAGTGCAGTTCTCATGTTGGGCAAACCCATCATCAGCTCCCTGGCCTGCCCTTCGATCTGAATGGCAAGTTCACGTGTCGGAGTCAGGATCAACCCAGTAGGTTGCTGGAGTGAAGTCTTCTTGTTCTGAAAGACAGGAAAACAAAAGATGCTGCCACTCAAATTCTGACTCAGACCGTTCCTCTTTATTCCACATTCACAACCTTGAACTGAGAAAGTAATCGTTTTCTGAAATTTGTGTTCCGATTCTTTTTTTAAGTTCGTCAATTTATGGAATGCAATTGTTGGAGACAGCAAAAATGTTCTCATTTTGAGCTCTCAATGTCACCAAAACACTCCTAGATCAATACAAAGTGATACAGAGCCAAACACCCCAAGGTTAGATGTTACAGGGTTAGAAACAGAATTACATAGAAATTATAACACTTAAACAGGCTGTTTATGCCATTCATCATCATCATAGAATTCTTACAGCGTGGAAACAGGCCATTTGGCCCAACAGATCCGCACCAACCCTCCAAGGAGCATCCCATCCAGACCCATACCCTTACCCTATTCCTGTAACCCTGCATTTCCCATGGCTAACCCACTTAGCCTGCACATCCCTGAACACTGGGCAATTTAGCATGGCCAATCCACCATAACCTGCACATCTTTGGACTGGGGGAAGAAATCAGAGCACCCAGCAGAAACCCATGCAGACACAGGGAGAATGTGCAAACTCCACACAGACAGTTGCCCAAGGGTGGAATCGAACCTGACGCTGTGAGGCAGCAGTGCTAACCACTGCGCCACCACACCGCCCAACGATGGTGTTTATCATCTACGTGAACAACAATCCTAAAGTCATGTTCTTGCTCTGTACTCACACCCCTTTTTCCTTCAAATACAGGCACGGACTCTGTTTCAAAGACATCCTCACAATTCTACTTAAAAATAAAACCCTTCTCACATACGTGCAATCTTATGCATCTGTCCTTTTATTGTAAATCATCGATCACTGCAAACAGTCCACTTTTATCATTCTGTGCCATCCACTAACCACCAGTAATGAGTTCTTTCTGAAAGCATATCCCCTCTGAAAGCATATCCTTTCTTATCTATTGTTTCCTGAGAATATTCTAAATAATGTTTATTCCCATTTCTGCCCAGTTTGTAGCCTAGTCTGTTGTTGTGTAAATAAACCTGCCTCATGGGGAGATGGCAGCGTCATAGTAATGTCACTGGACTAGTAATCAGAACCCAAGGTGGGTTCAAATCCCACCTGACTCAAATGGTGAAATTGGAATTAAATGAGAATTGAAAAAAAACTGAACATAGTAAAACCTTATTTGGTTCACCAATGTCTGTTAGAAAAGGAAATCTGCCATCTTTACCTGGTCTAGCCTACGTGTTACTTCAGACTCACAGTAATTTTTTTAAAACTTGTTCATGCAAATGTGGGCGTTGCTGGCTGAGCTAGCATTTATTATCCATCCCCGATTGAGAGTTAACAGTCAACCACATTGCTGTGGGTCTAGAATCACAGGTAAGAATGGCAGTTTCCTTCCCTAAAAGTGCGCAGTTCTGCTTGAGCTGTTGTAGTAAACAGCTGGAAAATTTAAAAAATCTCCAGAACATCAGGACATTGCCAGGAATGGAGGGTTTGAGATACAAAAATGGACTGGAAAGGCTGGGACTTTTTTCACTGGAGGGTAGGAGGTTGAGGGTTGACCTTATTGAGGTTTATAAAATCATAAGGGGCATAGATAATGTGAATGACTAGGGGACATTTTTAAGATGAGGAGAAAGATTTTAAAAAAAGGATACAAGGCGACTTTCTTTTTACACAGAGTGTGGTTTGTGAATGGAATGAACTGCCAGAGGAAGTGGTGGAGGCAGGTACAGTTACAACATTTAAAAGTCATTTGGATAAGTTCATGAATAGGAAAGATTTGGAGGGATATGGGCCAAATGCAGGCAGACGGGACTAATTTAGTTTGGGAACATGGTCGGCGTGGACTGGTTGGACCGAAGGGTCGGTTTCTGTATAACATTAGGAAATGAGATGAGTTTTTCTGACAATTCATAACGATTTCATGCTCATCCTTAGACTCTTAATTCCAGATTTTTATTGAATTCAAATTCCACCATCTGCCACAGGGGTATTTGAACCTGGCTCCCCAGAGCATTACCTGGATTAATAGTCTAGTAATAATATCACTGAACCAGTGCCTCCCCACTCTTAAGTGGCCTCTGGGCAATAAACATTGGGGTAGCCATCAATGTCCCTATTCCATGAACAAACAAATTACAAATAAATTACAACAACAAGTGCCCTTCAGAAGTACTTCACTGTGCCAAAGTGGTTCGTTTCTAATGCACATCTGTCACTCCAGACAGGACACAGTCTTCACAATCTCATACTTTGTTAGTCACAGAGCAATGATCATAAAGAGAACCAGTCCTTGGCCTAATGTTTGAAATTCTTAATCAGCTCCAACTGCCCTGATTCAGTTCATCAGTATATCAGCAGATACGATTACGTAAATTGGCAACTCAGAGCTGCAGCCTTAAGTCACTGGCCGGACCATAGATAAAACAGCATACCTAGGTTACAGATCACATTTAGAGATAGTAAGAACTGCTGATGCTGGAGTCTGAGATAACACAATGTGGAGCTGGAGGAACACAGCAGGCCAGGCAGCATCAGAGGAGCAGGAAAGCTGACATTTCAGGTCGGGACCCTTATCTACAGATCACATTTACCTTGTATGGTAGCAAGTCTCACATTCCACCAGATTCTGTATAAGAATTTTCTCCTGAATTCCGTATTGAATTTCTGAATGATTTTCATATATTTATGATCCTCTTAGTTTTGGACTTCTCTACAGTGAAGGTATATTTTCAACATCTATCTAATCCCTTAGTTCTGGTACTATCCTGGCAAATATTTTATCATACCTTCCCCAGCATCCAGACATCCTTCTTCTAATGTGGAGACCACATTGTGCACAGAGCTTTACGTGTGGACAAACCAGGCTTCTGTGCAAGTTTTACCTCACTCAGATTCATAGAATCATGTGAACAACACAGGAAGAAGCTTTTTCGTCCATTGTGCATGATGAGTTCTTTGTAAGAGCTAATCCAATACCATGCCCATGCAAAATGTTTCCTTTGTAAATATTCCCTTATGAAAGTTACTATTGGTTCTGCTTCCATTGGTGTTTCATGTCAATGTTCCAGATTGCAATAACTTGCTCTGTTTTTTCAAAAAAAAAATCAGAATTTGGGCACAGGAAGCGTTTGCAAGATGCTTTAGCACTTTGTTAATGCAAACTGGTGATCCTCTGTATTGTAATATACAACTACCTCCCTCTCCTCATTGTTCTCCCTTTGCCCCTCCAGCCTTCTCCCTTCCCACTCACCTGTTGCAGTGCCGCCATGATGACTGGAAGCAGAAAAGCCGCAGTTTTCCCTGAGCCAGTGTCCGCTGCCGCCAAAACATCTTTCCCCGCCAAGCCTTGTGGCAGCATCTGCATCTGAACTGGGGTAGGGGTCAGGTAGCCCAGCCTTGCCAGGTTGGCGTTCAGGGTGTCAGGGAAGCCACAATGCTCAAATTCCACAATGGGCCTGAGAGCTGGACCCGACACGGCAATGCCAAGTTGATGCTGCAGGGCCTCCACCTGCTCAGTGTTCAGGCTAGAGATAAACGGGTGCTCCAGGTAGTTGCCAGCCTGGGCAAACTGCTCCTCTGGCTGCAGGCTAGGCCATGTCTCAGGAACAGGACAGGATGCTGGACACCCCATTCCCAAACGCCGCAGATTCTGGGCTTTACACTCCATGCTGCACACATCCGTATCAGTCTCATTGCAGATATATTCCCCATATCTGCCACACACCGAGCAGACAGGCTCTCCTGGCTCCGGCCAGCGCTGGCCTTTGCTCAGCTGCTTCACCGGCTCCTCCACCTCCTCCTCCTCTGGACCAGCAGTGGCCTCAGGGTTTTCCGTAACTCCCTGGGGATGTTCAGTGTTCCCTAAGTCATCAGAAATAACTTTACTTCTCTTGGCATGTTGGCCCTCGCTTTCTTCCACTCTTTTCACCTTCAGCGACCGGGGGACAAACATGGCTGTCAGTCTTTGGAGAAACAGTGAGACTTCGCTGGATAGTCAACACATTCTGCAGCTGTGAAACATTCAACAACCTCTTTAATAAACCCAGAAAACCACTCAGGACGCAACTGTAGAGAGAGAGAAACAGAGTTACTGTTTCAGCTGAATGACCTTGCATCATCAATCTCCTGTCATTATCTCACATTGCCATTTTGTTCAAACTTTCGTACTGATTTTGGGTGTAGAAAAGTAACTTGCAAGTTCCAAACTAAAGGAAGAGCTTTGAATGATGTTACCCAAAATATCACTTCAGTTTGGAACAAACCCCAGGCATGCAGCCCATTGGATTCTCTCTCTGTTTGGTTCAGCAGTAGCTCTGTTCCTTCAAAACAGTGAAATTGGAAATTCTGTTCCCAGAGTATTAGCTCAAGACTCTGGATTGCTGGTCCTGTAACATGACCATTATGCTACTGTCTCTGACAATGATTAAAGAGGGAATGCAATAAGATCTAAATTAGACTTACAATGCATTTATCTAAACACCCTAAGCAGGGCCAATGATAACCCATATAACTACTGATCACGAACACTAGGCTGACGAAAGGTCAGGATCTAAGTATTCCCGGATCTGAGGTATTCCGAAAAGGTTGGGAATAAAAGAAAGGAGACAAAGTGGAAGTATTGATCAAGAAGAATATTTCAGTGCTGGAGAGAGGGATCCAGGATAAAATTTGCCTGGTTAAAAACTTTAAAAAAAAAAACCATGCTACTAATGGGTATATACTACAGGCATTGTTGATGATGAGCTGGCTCAGGACCAATGGACTCTCTTTAAGCTATATCCAATTCTTTTCTTATTCTTAAACTACTCAAAATGGCACCAGATCACTGTGACAATGGAAAAGCTTTTCACTGTATTTTACAGTTTTTCTCACTGTAAAATACACACAACAATAAAATCATACATTCATTAATTCGTGCATACAGGAAACCAACTGTTTGAAATATATACTGGGTTGGGAAGTATAAAGGGCAAAAAGAGGAAAGAGTTTCTGAAGTGTATTTGGAAGAATTTTCATAGAAACATAGCAATTAGGAACAGGAGTATGCCATTTGATCCCGAGCCTGCTCCGCCATTCAATATGACCGTAACTGATCATCGAGCACAACACCCTCATCCCGCTCTCCTCCATATCCTTTGATCGCTTTAGTCACAAATTATATTGACCTCCTTGAAAACACACAACGTTTTGGCCTCAACCACTTTCTGTGGCAGTGAATTCCACAGGCTCATCACTTTCTCAGTGATTAAATTTCTGGTCATCTCAATTTGGATGGGGGTTTCAACAGAACAGAAGCTTAAAAAGAAATCAAAAATAAGAGTGTAGAAGTGCAGGGTTGTGATGAGGTGAATGATAATCGAAGTGTGACGGGAATAAAAATATACACACAGTGATGCAGAAATTTGAAGAAAGGTAAATAATAAATGATAAAAAGTCAAAGTTTAAGACTCTTTATCTGAATGCATACAGTGTTTGTAGCAGCATAGATGAATTGATGGCACGAATAGAAACAAACAAATGTGACTTGATAACCACCACTGAGACTTGATTGCAGAGTGTTGAGACCAATATTCAAGGGTTTTTGACATTCCCGAAGAATAGACAGAAGGAAGGAGGAGTTGGGGTAGCTTTGTTAATAAAGGATGGTATCAGATGAGCAGTGATATGGGTACAACAAATTGTGATTTGAAATCAATTTGGTTGGAAATAAGTAAAAAAAGAGTCATGGGTGGGAATAGTCTACAAGCCCCCAGAGCTGTCTTACAGTAGGATATGATAAACTGTGAAATATTGGAGGTGTATTCAAAGGCCATTACAATTGTCATGGGTGATTTTAATCCATATTTTGACTGGATAAATCAGATGGGAAAGGGGGTCATCGAAGACAAGTTTGTAGCGTGCATCAGGGATTGACTCTCAGAAGAATATATCGCATAACCTCCCTGGGAACAGGCTATCCTTTAGATCACGGAGAGTAACTCAGGTCTCAAACCAGTGCCCTCAATTTAAATAAGGGCAAATACAGGGTTATATGGTTAAAAAAAGGCAGTCATGGAGAGTATGCAATCGAAAAATACGGCACACAAAGTGACAAAAACTAGTGGTAGGCCAAAAAATTGAGATTCTTTATAGGAACCAGCTGTGAATGATTCAAAGCCTAATAACAGGACCAAAAATTGATTACAAAAGTAAATTGGCATGAAATAAAGAAAAACAAACAGCAAGAGCTTCTACAGATACAGAAAAAAGAAGGGAAGTGAGAGACCCTTGGAGGATACAACTTGGGTATTAATAACAAATAAATGGCAGGTAATTTAAAACCAATATTTTACATTGGGCTTCACAGAGGATGCTATAAACATCCCAAAAATAACGCATAAGTGCTAATGGGTGAAAGATGTTGTAACGGTGTCCATCACAAGAGAAAGTATTTGACAAACTAATGGGACTAAAAGCAGAAAAATTGCCAGGACCAGATGAACACCTTTCCACATGTTTTAAAGGAGGTAACTGCAGAGATAGTTGAGACATTGGTCAAAATATTCCAGAACTCTGTATTCCAGGAGGTTGGAAAACTGCTAATGTCTCATTCTTATTTAAAAAAAAAGGAGGGAGACAGAAAGCAAGAATCTACTGGCTAGTTAGCACAACCTCCATGAAGGGGAAAATGCCAGAGTCCATTATTTAAGAAGAAAAAGCGAGCCATTTAGAAAAGCTTATCACAATCAAACACAGTCAACATGGTTTCGTGAAAGGAAAATCACATTTAACCAATTTGCTAGTGCAAGCAGAGTTGATAAAGGAGAACCTCAAGATGTGTATTTGGATTTTCAGAAGTCATTTAGGAATCCATGTTATGAAATAAGTTAACTGTATTAGCAGTTTGTTTACGGGCCTCATGAGGAGACACTAAGTAAAGAAACTTTCATCAAGTGAGTGCAGACGTACAGTTGTAAGAAGACTTCCATATAAAAGGCTTTGCACAAATTAGAAGCTCCTGATATTGTGGGTACTCTATTAGTATGGATCGGGGATTGGTTAAAAAACAGAAGACAGAGTTTAGATAGATGGGTCTTTCTCCAGTTGGAAAGACATAACCAGTGCAGTGCCAAAAGGATCAGTCCTCGGACCTCAATTATTCACTACCTAAATTAATGACTTGGAGGAGAGGACAGAGTATAATGTATCCAAATTTGCTGATATTGCAAAAAATAATTGGAAGTGCTTATTGTAGTGAGGAATCTGCAAGGGTTTATAAATAGATTGAATGAATGGCCAAAAACTTGGCAGATGTAGCGTGAGATCATGCACTTTGGGAGGAAGAATCAAAAGGCATGCTATTATTAAAATGCAGAGAGACTCCACATAACTGTAACGCTGAGGAAACACCAAAAGGTTTGCATGCAGACGTATCAAGTAATTAGAAGTCAAATGGAATTTTGGCCTTTATTACTAGGGGGCCGGATGGAATGGATGAAAAAATGGAAGCGTTGTTACAATTATACTTCGGCATTCACTCGATGAAAGCTTCTTTACTTAATGTCCCTTCATGAGGCCCTTAAACAAACTGTTAATACATTTAAGATAACAAGGTGTACAGCTGGATGAATACAGCAGGCCAAGCAGCATCAGAGGAGCAAGAAGGCTGACGTTTCGGGCCTAAACCCTTCTTCAGAAATGGGGGAGGGGAAGGGGGTTCTGAAATAAATAGGGAGAGAGGGGGAGGCGGATAGGAGATGGATAGAGGAGAAGATAGGTGGAGAGGAAACAGACAGGTCAAAGAGGCAGGGATGGAGCCAGTAAAGGTGGGTATAGGTGAGCAGGTAGGGAGGGGATAGGTCAGTCCAGGGAGGACGGACAGGTCAAGGGGGCGGGATGAGGTTAGTAGGTAGGAGATGGGGGTGGGGCTTGAGGTGGGAGGAGGAGGGGATAGGTGGGAGGAAGGACAGGTTAGGGAGGCGGGGACGGGCTGGACTGGTTTTGGGATGCGGTAGGGGGAGGGGAGATTTTGAAGCTTGTGAAGTCCACATTGGTACCATTGGGCTGCAGGGTTCCCAAGCGGAATACGAGGTACAGTTCCTGCAACCTTCGGGTGGCATCGTTGTGGCACTGCAGGAGGCCCAGGATGGACATGTCGTCTGAGGAATGGGATGGGGAGTTGAAATGGTTCGCGACTGGGAGGTGCAGTTGTTTAGTGCGAACCGAGCGTAGGTGTTCTGCAAAGCGGTCCCCAAGCCTCCGCTTGGTTTCCCCGATGTAGAGGAGGCCACAATGGGAACAGCGGATACAGTATACCATATTAGCAGATGTGCTGGTGAACATCTGCTTGATGTGGAAAGTCTTTTTGGGGCCTGGGATGGGGGTGAGCGGGGTGGTGTAGGGGCAGGTGTAGCACTTCCTGAGGTTGCAGGGAAAAGTGCCGGGTGTGGGGAGGCTGGAGGGGAGTGTGGAGCGGACAAGGGAGTCCCGGAGAGAGTGGTCCCTCTGGAAAGCAGATAAGGGTGGAGGGAAAAATGTCTTTGGTGGTGGGGTCAGATTGCAGATGGCGGAAGTGTGGGAGGATGATGCGTCGGATCCGGAGGTAGGTGGGGTGGTACGTGAGGACAAGGGGATTCTGTTTTGCTTGTTATTGCGGGGAGGGGGTGTGACGGATGAGTTGCGGGAAATGCGGGAGACACGGTCGAGGGCGTTCTTGACCACTGGGGGGGTTGGGGGGGGGGGGGGGGGTTGGTGGTGGAGTTGCGGTCCTTGAAAAACGAGATGTATGGGAGTGGAATGCCTCATCCTGGGAGCAGATGCAGCAGACAAGAAGGAATTGGGAATAGGGGATGGCATTTTTGCAGGAAGGTGGGTGGGAGGAGGTGTATCCTAAGTAGCTGTGGGAGTCGGTGGGCTTGAAATGGATATCGGTTTCCAGGTGGTTGCCTGCTATCTCTGTTAATACATTTAACTTATTTGTTAAATATCTCTTCTACAACCTTCCCTTTCTGGAATTTTCTCCTACTGATATTAAACTGACTACTTTCTAAATGGCAACAGGATTTGGAAGTCTGAAGAGCAAAGGA